GGCTACCCTCGTGCTTAACCCGGAAACTGCAATTAGTACAAAACATGGTAGCCAGATTAATTACTGGAACATCTTGGAGGGAGCACATAACACCTGTGCTTAAATCCCTCCACTGGCTGCCGATTAGTTTCCAGGCACAGTACAAGGTGTTGGTGTTAACCTTTAAAGCCCTACATGGCTTGGGTCCATCTTATCTTAGGGACCGCCAATCCCCATATGACCCCCCCCATGCACTCCGGTCCTCTGGGAGGAATCTGCTGCAACCGATAAAGACCAGGCTTTTGCAGACCTCCCAGAGGGCATTCTCTGCGACCGCTCCCAGACTATGGAATGGCCTGCCGGACGAGATCCATCTTATTACCACCCTTGCTGCCTTTAAAAAGGTAGTAAAGATGGTTCTCTTACGGCAGGCCTTCTGGAATAGCTGCCTGGCTAAACTGGAGGTGATTCGACATCAATTTCTCCTCCCATTTTGTCAGGTAGGCCAAATCCGGCTGTATTGTATTGTATTTTATTTGTGTAATTTGATTTTAATTTCTATGATAGTTTAATCCTGTTTTAAGGGGTGGGAGGGTTAGGGGTGGGAGGATGGAATGTTTTTACTTGCTGTATTTTTAATTTGTTGTACGCCGCCCCGATTGCCGAGCAGAGGGGCGGGTTATAAATAAATTATTATTATTATTATTATTATTATTATTATTATTATTATTATTCACTTTTCCATAAGCACTGGAAGGTCAGGATATACAGTGGACCCTTAGCATCCCATGGGGTTTAATTCCAGGAACTCCCATGGATACCAAAATCTATGGATGCTCATGTCCCATTACATACAGTGATGCAGTAAAATCATGTCCCTTATATACAATGGCAAAATCAAGGTTTGCTTTTTTAAATTTATATCTTTAAAAATATGTTCAAACCATGGATAGCTGAACCCGTGGATAAAGAATCAGTGGATACAGAGGACCAACTGTACATTTTAACTGTAAATTGGTCAAATTCTGATTGATATGCCATTAAGCATAACCATCAATATACTATGCTATAGGTTTATGAAACTGTAATGGCATGACAAAATTCAGCATATGTACCATAAGTGTGTGGCCAGCATGGTGCACCACTACCATGGTGTAGTGGTTTTCATGCTAGACTATGACTTTGGAGACCAGTGTTCAAATCCACTCAGCCATGGAAACCCACTGGGTGACCTTGAACAAGTTACATTCTCCCCCAACAAATCTTACAAGAAAAACTCTGTGATACGGTCAGCCGATGGTCACCATAAGTCAGAAATAACCTTAAGGCACACAATAACACAATGCAACCATAAGTCTGTCTTGTTGGAACCTTGGAGAATATCTCCATTATACCCCAGATCTTAACTAAAAGAATTAAATCCAGAGCTCTCTGCCTTGTCCCTATTCTATTGATTAGTGGTGTCAATAGTCCTTGGAAAGCTGTATCTGAACAACACTCTAAATCGGGGTAGGCAACCTTTCCCCTTTAAGGGCCGAGGGACTTCAGTTCCCAGAATCCCAGGAGCTATTGGCCAACATGGGACTATTGGCCAACATGGCTGAGGCTTCTGGGAGTTGAAGTCCCTCGGCCCTTAAAGGGGAAAGGTTGCCTACCCCTGCTCTAAATTATGCATGGCTCAGGGAAAAAAGAGAAACTAATTCTAACAGCAAAAATCCTTATTAAAATAGAAAGGCCATGAACAGTTGATCACTTATATTATGACAGAGATAAGAATCATGTAGCACTCCATATTTTGTTAGGCACTCCCATCAGCCCTAGACAGCATAATCAATGGTGAGGAATGCTGGATGTTGCAATCCAATAACATCCAAAGGCACAGATGACCCCCATCCCTACTATTTAAGATAAATGAGGACAGGGAGTTGTGCAGCCCTCCAGGTCTTGTTGGACTGCAGCTGCCATGAGCTCTGGCCAATGGAGAAGAATACTGGGGGCTGCAATCCAACATCTGGAAAGCCACAGGATTCTCATCCCTAAACTAAATCCTATTGTTAGCCTCAACTAAAGAACTTTTGAGTGAATGGGATTATGTAAACCCTATTAATTAATATGTCTCCTCTAGAAGGAAATAATTGGATTTAGTCCACTTCCACCCTCTCCAGATACACAGAACATTCAAAGAATACCTTTTCTCACATGAAAACAACTGAGACAGACGAAGAAAAAAATTCAGCTGAAGACAGAGAAAAGATCACTGTTCTTTCTGTGCTTTGAGGGTATTTTATTTTATTTGCACACTGTTGTTATTGTTGTTATGTGTGATCAAGCCAGCTTCAATTTATGGTGTTCCTATGAATGGGAGACCTAGAAGATATTCTGTTATTAACAGTCTTGCAAACTTAGGACCACCTTTAATACATCTCTCTCTTGTTCTACTGCCTCAAGCTTTACCAAGCATTATTGTCTCTCCAATGAATCATGTCATCTCATCATATATCCAGATATGGATATCCTCAGTTTAATAATAATAATAATAAGAAGAAGAATAAGTAGTAGTAGTAGTAGTAGTAGTAGTAGTAGTAGTATCCCACCCCTCTGCAGAGCAACCTGGGCAGCTTACAACATTAAAATAACAAGTGGTCTTTAAATTCAGTACTTTGACCTTTATAATACAGTATTTTATACTGTTTTTCTATACAAATTTTCTCAAAGCTGTTTGTATTATAAAAAGTTAAATTATTTAAAACATAATGAAACCCTAAAAACTAAAATATAAGTCACCATTATAACAATCAATTTGGGCTACAATCCTATAGACCAGGGGTAGGCAACCTTTTTGAGCCAGGGGCCGGGTTGCTGTCCCTCAGACAATTGGGGGGCCGAAGCACCCTAAATAAATAAATAAATACATAAAAATAAGAAAATTTAAAAAATTTTAAAAATTAAAAAAATATATGCATGCACACTCTGTCAGCCTCAGAAAAGCCATGGTAAAACCCCTGTGGAGATTTTGCCAAGAAAAACCCAAGAACAAGTAATAACAACAATAATCAATATCATTATGGTGGGCGGCGGCGGCAGGACCAGCCTGGGGCCGGTCCAAAGGCCTCATGGGGCCGCATCCGGCCCCCGGGCCTTAGGTTGCCTACCCCTGCTATAGACTCTGGAATAAGCTCCAAAAGACTTTTATTTTAGGTCAGAGGTGGGAATCATGCAGCCTTCAGGTTGCTGGACTGAAAATTCCAGGAGCTGTAGCCACAATAGTGTAGAAAGCTGGGATTTGCAGTTCAACAACATCTGCAGGGATACATAATTCATACCCCTGTAGATAGTCATACACAGGATTGCAGCCAAATTTAATTCCTCAGAATATGCAAACCTCTCCCTTTATGAAAGCACATGCTATCTCTTTTTAAAGAAGACAAGACTGCCAGCCAAACTGGCTTCACGGGGCACAAGGACAGCCAGCCAAACTGGCTTGCACAACTCTGAGACCATCTGGATTATAGAAACTCCAGACCACGGTTTCAGTATCTGATCTTGGGGATCATAGGGGAAAAAAACTACTCTCTGAAAAATACCAAACTTGGAGCATTTGATGTGGGGTTTGATTTGAGGAAACTAGAAGAGATTACAATTAATTCTATTTTATGTTTCCCATCTGTTTTAGATTTTCCATTCTCCACAGTGTGTAAAAATAAATAAATAAATCAGTCTGTATTTGAAATCTGTTGCCCCAAATAAAGAAATAAATGTATATATAGAGAAACAGAAAAACTTGTCTGACAAGATGATACAAGTGAAGGTCCAGAAGAGTCCAAAACTACTGATACTGACACTTATCACATGGAGGCAAATCCCGTGCAGAAACAGGATTTAAAAATCCCCTCCCAAAAAAACCCCGCAGAAACAGGTTGTTTTTCAGACCTATTTGTGTAAAGGAGAAATAACGCAAAATTACCCTGAATGGAAAGCCACCAAAACACACTCCTTTTTACGTTTGGAAGTTCCTGAAAGTAAAAAAGAGCAGGTTTTGTCGGCTTTCTGTTCAGGTTATTTTTGCGTTATTTCTCTTTTATGCAAACGTCATCTGAAAAACAACCCGCAGTTACAGGTTTTGCCTACTTTCTGTTCGCGTTAACCCTGAATGTCACTTTAAATCTAGTTTCTGCACAGCATTTGTCCTGTGTGATAAACTCCAGTGACATTTCAGAGAATGCGACTAATTTTAAAAAGTTCCATGCAGAAATTAGAAACCTAGGGGCTATGCAGATGGGCGGCTCTGGGCCGCCCCTGCTAGCTGCGGATCGGGGCCATGGCCCTGATCCTTCCTTTTGCCACCCTAAGAGCCAGCGCCGTGGCTCTTCTGCACCCCGCACCGGGAGGGTGTCCTGATGCCACGCGCTGAGCATAAGGGTGCCCGGCTTCAGGACAGCATCAGGCTGGGGTTGGGGCGGCCAGTGTGTGGCTGCTCCACCCCAACTCCATCCTCAGACTGGTCTTTTGGGCCGGTCTGCAAAGCCCCTTACTCTTACAGATCTATTCTAGTTACAGTTCAGAGAACCTCTCCCAGAACTGTTTAGTGTCCATTATAGTTACAATACTAAAAATATTTGCTTTCCCAAGAGTAATTAGAAATTATAAAACATATTTTCCTCCTGTCCATTTCATTGTTATCTCAGCACCCTCAGCAGAGCATGAGGCAGATGCATGAGGAATGGCACAAACCAGCACTTGAACCATGTAAAATTCCTCCTCCATCAAACTACATATCTAGGGGTAGCCATGTTGGCCGTACAACAACATCCAAAATCCACAAAACAGCAGTACCTTTATTGTGGCAATCAAAATGCACAAAATACATGATGCAAGCCTTCAAAGCTCCACTGGTTTCTTCTTCAGGCAAAGGTGTTAAAAAATACAGTGGAGAAAGAAAAAATGATGAAGTTTGAGACACTGGCCTGCATTTTGTCAAGGTGTTGTTTTGGTTATTCACAGTAAAGATGGTACAGAGATATAGGATATCCATGGGATATTCATGTAGGTAGAGACTACCTACTTTTGGCCATGGGGGCTCTGGGAGTTGTAAAGAGTTGTAAAGTCCAGGAAATGAAATGTAAACTTCATTAGCAACAGAAAAAGCAGAAACAATTTTTTTAGTATTGTAACTATAATGGACACTTAACAGTTTTGGGAGAGAGGTTCTCTGAAATGTAACTGGAAGAGATGTGTAAGAGTAACTGAGATCCAAGCTGCCTTTTTCCTGTGTGAGGCTACCTGCCCCCTTCTTAAGCAGGGAACATTGAAGGCAGTAGGAATGACTGTCGGCCTTTGCAGACTGCCAGAAATAGTGCAAATTGAGTCCACTTTAAGGGTTAGAGTTAGTGCTAGGGAATCATGGGAATTGTTTTTTCCCCCTGAGACATTGAGTCTTCTCTGTCAGATAGCTCTGGTGCCACAATAAAATACAGTTTCCATGATTCCCTAACCCTAACCCTAACCCTTAAAGTGGACTCAATTTCACTATTTCTAGCAGTCTCTGCCCAGTAACTTCACCTCACAATTGGTGCACCTTTTAAAAGAGGAGGAGGAGGACACCATCAGAAAGTCCAGAACAGTCTATGTCAAGCTAAAATAGAACCGTAAACAAACAAACCAAGGAGCAAGCAGGATACTAGTCAGAAACTGGTCCAAATGGTCTGAAATTTTGAGAGGAACAATCCAAAGGAAGAGTCCAAATCAAGTCAAAAGTAAAAAAAAAGATGTTAAAACATAAAAATTGAAACAAGCACTGGAGAGGTTCCTTTGATGCTGCCCACACAGCGGATGAAAAGGAATTGACGTAAATGAGCTGAGGGGAGGTGGAGCTACCACCAAAAAACCTTGCAGATCTCAGGCTAGACTCAGGCTTGCATCCTTCCGAGGTTGCTAAAATGAGTACCCAGCTGTTGGGGGGCAATGAGCTTACAGTTGTAAACCGCATAGACCGCATAGCGTGGTATGAAGTGGTATATAAATGAAGCTGCTTTGCAGATCTATTCTAGAAGGTTCTGATGGTATACTGCACAGGCACAGAATACCCCGATGTGTGAGTCACAGAGACCATGAAGAAGGACATTTAATTTTTCAAGAATTCTCTGTGCTGAGATGGAATGTGATTAAAGTGCCATTATCCCATGAAGAACCAGACAAGAAACAATAGTAACTCATTCACGG